CAACTCCTCATTCAAATCATTATAGGCTTGCGCTAGCTCCTCATGTTGAATTCTGAAATTGAAGAAGAAATGAAAAAATTGCACTACTACGTATTAGCTAATGACGACCCAGGCCACTATACTTACGAACACTTACGAACAAAACACACTTTAAATTCTCGGATTCCTGAACCTTAGCTTCCAGATCTGAGGAAGCAGCCCGCAACTGCACCAGCTCTGCGTTAGCATCTCGCAGCTTCTCTTCTAGGTCCGTTAGTTCAGACCTTTCAACCAAGTCCAGTACCACCATGCGATCATCACATCCAGCTGAGGCGCTAGCTGTTGACGGCCGCTGACGCACCTAAGTGAGTTCTTTTTAAAAAACGTCACTTATGCATGATCGCTGCTTCGTACCATTTCCTCGAGTTTTCGTTTTGTGTCCAGTAACTCTTCTTTTTCCAGCAACACAGCATCCAATACATCGGTATTGCTAGTTGACGATGACGCTACCCCCTGTGAATAGAATTTGTATATCGATGCTTTGACAGTAACAAAAACAGTTTGGGACGCAGCAGCGAATAACGGAATATCTATGAGGGATATTGAAAAGGAATGCAAGATGTCGATCCGCACCTTCAAAGCGGCACATCTCAATTCAGGGCTTACCTCACTGACGTAGATAAGAACCAACAATCTACTCCCTTGCCATCTATTTATAGTATGAGTTATTCCCAGCTTGAAGCCTTCAATAATCCCATTGGCTTCATAATAAATATGAAGCTAATGGCGCAATAGAATTGTTTACCGTTTCCATCTAGATATGGTTTTTTAATCATTTCTCCACAGGGATCCGTCAAAATTTTGCCATTACCGATAGAATCGAGAAGTTTCGCAGCCCACATCGTTCGCTTTTTTGTGACAGTGGTCGTGATAAATGATTCGCTGGCTAATGAAGAGAACAGAACTTGAAGTTTCTGGTGAATCTCTTGCCAACATGCTGAATATGCTATATGACTACAGGGATGAATGTGACGCCAAGCTCGAGCAGCTAGGGTAAAGACTTCTTGCGCACAAAGTAGTCGAGATCAAGATCACACACAGCATTTGCTGACGTACCCTTCAGCCTCACAATTTTGAGCCCCTCGGAACCACTTGGGTACGCGGATATAGGGTTACGAGGCAAAACACTTCACTCTAGGCGGGAATCGAACCCACACCCTTTCCTTTCTGAACACTTGAGCTACCGATACACACCATACCATACACCTTCGATGGTATTTTACCACATTGTGCGTGTAAG